TGCAGGCTCGCATTCACCAAGATATCAAGGACAATGGCAGCTCGCGTTTTCCAGGGCTTGAAATAGGTGGTTAAAGCGATGCTGCAACCCAGTAGGCTTTCCATGATGACCACGCTGACCGAAGGCCACTGTAGCATGGGTGCACAAGCAAACAGGATGTTGCGAGCCAGCAGAATCAGAGCAAAGACCTCGTAGCCTGGGTGAAATCGGAAAATCAAAAATCTGCAAGAGCGGACAAAGGTCACGTCACCTGAATTCACCCGCTTGGGAAGCTCAATCAGAAGCATCCAGCTGCAAAGGCTCAAGAAACCCAGAGGTATGAGGCCAATTGCAACCCCCAGCAAGCACAGTTGAAGGTGCTCTGCTGCAAAATCGCAAACCACTGCATGATATCCTTGCATAGTCCGTAGGCCATTGGGGTGTGGAGAACATCGAAATGGCCCCACAGCAGAGTTCACTTGGGTAATGATCAGTGCAGCATACAGGCCAAGCAAGGTCTCTCCAAGTATATGCATCTTCCAGGCCTGACCTGTCACCTTTGCATAGGCCAAGTGCAAAATTGCTGGCGGCAGCGCCAGTGCAGTGGGAAGAATGACCTGGCAGAGTTTCGGTCCCCAATTGGTGACCAATTCACATCACTTCCTGCTGGTCACCGACTCACCCTTTTCATGCGGAAGGGACAGAAAAATATCTATGTTTATCTGATATTGTGTGAGATAGTATTAAAGAATGATTTAAACAATATCTACAGTATATTTAGTGAATAATCATTAAATATACATATTTACATGTTATCAAGATGTGTCCACTGTGTTCTCTGGAAGCCTTGTAGAGTCCGAAAAACGTCGCCATCAACACTCAGTTTCTGCATGGTTTCCTACCAAGAGGGTAGCCCCGAATCATCCAACGACCATTTCAGTATCTAAGCCAAAAAAAACATGGGAATCCACCATTTTAAGAAACCCATGTGTATCATAGATGTCATTCTATAGATGTGGGGTCATCAGCCTGTAGATCGCATTCGCTCTTTTCATATATTTCAAGAATATTAAGCAAAATGTGTCCAGCTGTCAGAAACACTTTTTGCAGGCTGGGAAATACCCTTGGAAACCGCCAAGCTCAGACCTGCTTGGAATAAGCTGGTGCAGTTCGGAATCAATCACTGTTGGTTAACATAACTCCAATCACTGTTGGATTTTCTGGTAGATCTGGATATCTGGGGATCAATACTGGGCACCACCGATATTTTTCGGACAAGTTTTTGGACAAGTGACATTTGTGAAGAGAAATCGCAGAACGGGAGTCACATCTGCAACACAGTTCAAGGCTCTAAAACCATGCGCAAGTTCGTCCAAGGACACATAGCTCAAGGCGTCCAAGAGCAGGGTAAATGGATCCTGAGCAGCTTTGAAGCCCCAATGTTCATCAATTTTAATCAATTTTCTCGACGTCTTTCAGGAATCAACAAGCAGTCCAAGACCTAAACGAAGATTGAACACTAAGGGTCTCCAATCTCCAAGGAAAAAGAAATATGTCTTTGTCCACATTTCATGAATACTCTAAAGACTTAAGCGCTTGGATCATGGTCTTTGTGAAAAGCCCCATATTTGGGAAATTTAAGGGATCACCATGGATCACCCCAATTTGATCCAATTGGTATATGGTATCCCGGTGACAAACCGGCACTGTCCGTTTTCGACCTATCTTAGCCAGACAGAGAATTGAAGAAAACGAGGGGTTTGGACTGTAAAGCTTTGAAGAAACACCTCAAAAAAATTCGATGGAAACAATGATGAACTATCATGTAAAAACAATGTAAAAACAATGTAAAGACAAGACATGAAAAAACGATAAAGATCATGAAGTGCATCATTGAGTGCATGAATATCATGCGGCACTGTGTGGCATTGTGTGACATTGTGTGGCATTGTGTGGCTGAATCACACCATGCGTCCAGGCTCAATGTTGCAAATGCGCAAGACACTTCTGATGTGTTTGCCTGGATTAGCCGACCTGGCATGCCGCCTGAGGAGCACCATTGGATTTGAAACGCACCATCGACTGTTGAACTCTGTTGAAATCCATAATGGAAACTTCCACTGAACCCGGACTGAACCCCTTACTGTAGCCGTAGCTCAAAGAGCGCAGTGTTACAAGATGTCCTAATCTCTCGATGGGCTCTATATTCTCATCTTTGCGCAGGACAGCAAGATCCTCATTGATGAGGTAGTCTACCAGGCACATCTTGTCGAATCTTGTCGAATCTTTGTGACTGTTTATACTGTTTACTTTGACTTGGTACGACTGTCGTACGACTTGCTACTTGTTTTTCTATTTCTATTTCCATTGTAGGATGAAATGTCAAGGCAATCCGCCCGGAGGGTGAGCCGGGTGAGCGATTCAGCTTCGACCCTGCAGCAGGTGAAGTACAAAATCCATTCTCTTCCCGATGAGGCACTGCGAAGAATTCAAGAGTTTCTGGGCTGAGACGTGCTTAGACGTGCTGAGACGTGCTGAGACGTGCTTAGACGTGGTGAGACGTGCTGAGATTTGCGGAGATGTTCTAAGATTTCTAAGGATTTCTAAGGATTTCTAAGGTATAGAGTTTGATTTCTGAAACATGAAAAGCTGATCTGAGCTTTCCCAGTTTTCGCATTACTTTAGCTGAGGTTCCTGCTCGAAGTGAAAGACAAACTGCAGCAAATCATCATGGACATGCGTTCAGAGACGAAGACGGATCAGCAGCATGTCAAAAGTTGGCCATAAACCTTGCACAAGGTGCACAACTCGCACAGAAATTGCAGCATGCCAACGCTGGCATCACAAAAGCACCTGATAAGCTGCCAAAATGGCAGAATCTTTGTCCTCAGGTCAACTATGGCGGATTTGGCAGACAAAGAAGCAGCTGTAAGCCACGCCATCAACTTGATCCGAGCCAAGGTCGATCACAGATCACAGAAGAGGGCAAGGGCTTAAAGTGTTTGGTTACTGGTTGTCTTTGAAGTCACTTTGAATCGTTTTGGATTGAGTGTCATGTTGTGAAGTTGCAAAGCGCTTCAAGTTGCAAACTGAACCTGGCCATATGTAGATTCAGGTGGGTCCGGTCCCACGAAGCAGCTGCAGACTCTTGGGTGGTTTACCAACTGCTGGCTATGCGGCCTGGAATCCAAGTCAAAGAAAGTCAAAGAACTTTCACACGAGAATTGAAGCCGATGAATTGAAGCCGATGGTGTCATTCTGGCTGTCTTTCTGGCTAAAGACGTCCCCTTGCTTTGTGGCTCGCGACTTGGTACAGGTTCCTGATGCAGAGTCTTTGCACCGCCCTCGGGTTCAAGAGATTCAAGAAACCCTCGTCTGCAACGCACAGACATCTACCTGTTGAAGGCTTTCCGAAGACAAAATTGAAGCAATGGGATAAACGGGAGTCCCAACAGATGCTGTCTCTGAGCGACTTGTCTCCGAGGAGTGTTGCGACACCAGACCAGAGTCAGGCAAGACTGAAGCAAAGCGCTGAGAATTTTTCCAAGTTCTGACTGTTCGGATGCTTGAGAGATCTCGAGAGTCGCAGAGCAAATTGTCGCCAGGGGGCTGCCCCAGTGCCAGCTGTACCGAATGCAAGAGATGCTCGGCTGTTAAGCAGAATCTTTGTGTTTTCGTCTCAAGCAGAATGACTTCTCGTCGTCTCATGAGCCATGATTAGTAATTAGCTGTTGAATTCTCTACATGCATATGTATTCTTATTCTTGTTTATTTCGGTAGACAAAGCTTATGCACCATTTCATTTCCCAAGCCAACCTCTGACTTTTGGTGCTGGGATGCTTTGGTGTTCAAACTGGAGTGAACAAACTGGAGTGAACTGCAGATGCATTCCAGAAACCTTGGGCCAGCGAAAACAATCGCTTCCTTTGTGGATCATTCGGAATTTGGAAACAGGTCCGTGTGTCTGAGATCATGGAGGCCGAGTGCTGGCCTGAGCTCAGGAATGCGTTTCCTTTTCAAAAAAAACACGCCTTCGAGTCATGAGTAAATAAAATTTAAATAAATACATAAGTATTACATTACATTAGTGTTTTTTGTTGTTTTTTGCTTATTTTTCTTGGACTCATCCGCGTCCTAATTGCTGCCTTTGTTTACATACAGCTGCACGGCCCCGGCTATTGTGTGCACATTTGCCACATTTGAATTACTTGGAGAATTTTGATGTCATCGACGTTCTCGTATGAAGTAGCTGCAGTATCCATCAGTATCCATCAGTATCTCTGCTGAGGCGACACACTTCGCTTCCCAAGCCTATTGGGCCAGTCGCAAGCGCTTTATTTTAGGAAATTTTGTAGACAGCGCAGTTCGATCTGGTGTCCATACTTCCAGAGTACAGGATGTTTGCAATTCTGGCGGAAGCTCTCCCTGTTAGACATAGTTCCGTACATAACTTGGGCTGCTTGAATTGCAACACAGTCTTCCGTGAAGTAAAGCTCCTCACAATCATTCTCAAAGACTACAACCTTGAAACATCAACGGCTGGACCGGCAGTCAAATCCAAAGAAGACATGTCCTCCAAGTGCACAATGTGTACGTCGCACATGCCTCTCTTCAATCCAGACTTGTGTGCTGGGAGCAAAAAGTCTGCAATCTGGCACTCCTGGGTGACTCTGTGAAAAGTGCTTTGTTTATTTGTTCTGCAAACTGGGTCTGATTATTTTGCGCAGCTTCAAGTCACAGAGTGGTCCTTGGTGCTGACCTCAAGATCTCTTCTGGAGCCTACCCAGCTGAAAGCGAACGCACTCGCAACAATTCAACAAGAAAAGCATCATTGGAAGGGGCTTCCAAGTCATGCAACAGATTGCTACTTGGAACAAATCATGGATGCGGTCAATTGACAGTGGCTTGGATCGAGTAAGGTCTAGAGTTTTTTAAGTCCTTCATTTCCACTTTTTTTTGTGTTGTGGGTTCGAATGCGCCAACCTCTGAACCTAGAGATGCGCTTGAGATCGCTTGAGAATCTCAGTAGTCTGCAGAGTATCAACTTCCAATGGCATAAGCTGCCAGCTGCCATGGTTGGATCTGAGCTGCGCTTTGCTACTGATGAGGGCGCGGTGTTGGTGCATCAGCCCCACCGGCAGGAAGGGACCAGAGATGCAGAAGAGTAACAGACAAAAACACCAGGAAAAGAAGACGATTTGAAAGAAAAGGAAGGAACATATTGAAGGGAACGGGCAAGAAACACTCGTCATGAGAAGATTCATGATTAATTTAGCCACTTGTGAATGCAAGACTTTGCTGCCAGGATGCTCAACGAAGCCGCGTGCACTGCACTGTTTCAGGACTTGGTGGAGTGCCGACACAAGACAAACAAAAAGGATTCAGACTCTTGTTTCCGGTCCAAACCACGTGCATCATGACTCAGAACAGTTGCTGTTCAAGAAAAGGCGGTGGAATTTGCCACCCACATGAAGAAACATGATGATATGTAAGCCGCATTAAGCCGCTAGCCAAAGATGAAGATACGCTGCACAGCTTCAGATCAGAGTATACAGTGGTATACAGTGGTATACAGTATCATCGGCCGATGTGAACATTGTGAACACGTGACAGATCCTCGAGTATGAAGCTTAAAAAAAGCTGAGAGCTTGAGAGATCTTTTTTAGTACAGGTTTTTTACGGACAGATGGGCAGCGGCTGTGGGCTGTGGGGAGCGATGCAGGAGCTGCCTTTGATCTGTGGCGGCTGTCTGCCGCACCGCCTGGTGGGGGACGAACTGCGGGACTCGTCTCTTTGGAGGCACTCGAGGCCGTGCAGCGCGAGGCCGACTTCGCCCAGCGTGCAGGCGCCTATGATTGTTGATTGTAACATATTGTAACCCTCCTGCCATGCATTGCAAATCTCTAAATCTTTATAAAATGAAAACATTCTAACATGATGCTAACATGATGCTAACATGATGACATGATGCGAACATGTCAACCAATCGAAGCGAAGGAAGGTGGTCAAACAAGACATGTCAAAACAAGAATCAGACTTGGTGCAATCTGTGCAATCTGCAGGCCGACATCCAAACATAGTACGTTGTCATGGTGTCCTCGTGCAGAATGAGGGAACCGCTCTCAGCACTTCTTGTGTGACAACTCGGGAAATGGGCTTCGTACAGCCTCTGGCCGAGCTAGCCTTTCAATTGCCTTCATGAGATATTCCACAAGTAGTTCCAACATTTCGATTTCAACATTGCCTTCCCCTTCCCGCATCTTCAAGCGAGAATGGGCATGTGAGGAGCCGTGCACTCGAAGCTCTTGCTGTGTGAGCCTTGTGTGTTTGATCTGGCAACCCACACAGCTTCTAGTCGATGCCTCAGATGTAGCTCGCTTGCTGCGATAGTGCTGATTTTGTGAGATGCTGGAGTGGCTGATTGGTGCTGATTGGTGCTGATTGGAGTTGGGGTGCAAGTGGTGTTTTAATGTTTTTGAGAGATTCCTCCAGATTTGTCATGGCAGTTCTGGACCTTCCAGATTTCTTGACTTTCAAAGTTATGCGCAGCGTGAGCTAAGGCTCTTCTTTGCCTTCGCGTGAGGTTTCAGATCTTGGCCAAGAGCTGGCTTTTGGACTTGGGCATCTTCACAACCTGGGAATCTTGTGACGCGGCAGCAGATTTCGGACATTTTCAGAATCTGGCAGTGTTTGAATTCTGACAATGTTACTTATATAGTCTTATATTGCCACAAATATTGCCACAGAACTTGAGGTGTCGAGTAGAGACACTCCCAGGTACGGTGGATTTGATGCGAGTGGAATCTTCAGAGGCTTGATCAGCATGTTCACTGTTTGGTTTCTGATTCGCCTCTCTGAACATGCACATTTTCGTGTTGATTTGTTTCCAAGGGTCCTAAGACTTCCTAAGACGTCCAAGACTTTGGATTTCGCTCACTTTGAATTCTGTCCTGATCCGTCCAAACCACCAAACAGTCATTATTAAGTAACCATCATTACCATCATTAACCACTCTTATTGGTATAGAATCCCATTAAAAAGTGAATCCGTGAGGTCATGATGGCTTGTGGAAGCTCCGCGACTTCTGCCGTGCAGCGCTGCTACCTGTGGCAGCCTCCGAGTGGCGCGCGAGAAGCCACGCACGGCCTCAGGAGGCACCCCCAGAGGCCAGGTGAAACCCGGTGAAACCCGGTGAAACCCGGTGAAACCCGGTGAAACCCGGTGAAACCAAGTTACGAAACTTACGCTGAAGGAGAGAAAAGGGGGAAAAGGAGAAGAGAGAGAAGAGAGAGAAGAGATCGGAAGAGATCGGAAGATGAAGCAACTGCAAATTGATGCAAATTGCTTGTGATCCTGACCCTTTGCTTGTGACTAGTCTGTCTCACAGGCCCGTGGCAGCCAGAATCTCAGCCTGTTCTATCGTGTTTCTCATAAAAGCTTTGCCGGTCATAGCAGATCCTAGTAATACAAAAACGCTTCTCATGGATATACTATACTGATATACTACTCGAATGTATATACAGTATATACATACATGTTTAGGGCACTCTATCAGGACACACCACTGGACTTTTTAGATCTTTTTAGCAGATGCCATTTACTGTACCATTGACTCATGGCTCCCTTGTTACCAAAGCACGTTTGTATTGGATACAAAGCACGTTGGTGAGTTGATTTAATCAATGGGTCCACACTGTCCTAAGCAAGGTACGGACGATGCTCTGAAGCCGGAGGCCTCTTGGTGCGTTACATGGTTACTGTGTGGATCCTCCGTTCCCACTCTTGGAGTGAACGGTTCTGATCGGCAGCTTCACTTAACTCAGCTTGCGCTAAGAACGAAGAATCTCAGAATCTCAGAGCAGTATCGTGCGAAGATCAACAATGTCCTACCTAGAGCACACCATCTATCCATCCATATGTCCATCTGTCTATTTGCCCTTGCTTGGTTCTGCGAGCTGATGTCCAGGCGGACGTTTGGATGCTGGGCTCTTTCCTGTCCTCTCTCGTCTCCGGACTTCCGCAAGGCAAGTTGCGCGCATCCAGCTGTGTACTTCACCTAATCTTGGAGGATGCCTTCTGCAATTTCTGCAGTTGTAGGAGACCTTTCGTTGACGAGGTCTACGTATCTTTTTTTCTCCGCAAATTCTAATTCAACTTTATTTTAATACATTGTAGCTCAAAACATGGATGCTGCAGTGATGCCTGAGCTTGAGTCGCTAGAGATTCAGCGCCTAGAAAACTGTGCTGAAATCCCAGGCACTGGGGCTTTGGCCATTGCACCTCAACAGCCGGACACGCAGTGCAAATCAGTGCAATTGTCGACACCGATCTCTGCTCTCCTGATCTCTCCTGCAATCCTTCCAATCTTGGCTGTAATTTTTGGAAAGAAATGTTCCAGCTTCATGCGCAGGAATTCCCGGCATCTTCCTTCAAGTGAAACTACTGTAGCTAGTGTGCAATGCAGGTAGTCAATCTGTCTTCTGAATGCCCAAACAGAAGCACTTCAATTCACCCGGGCTCACGATTTTTCAATTGTTGTGGGTTGTGAATCTGCATGCTCAAAGCACAGCATTCGCTTCATTTCCTACAAGGCTAGTGGATGCTGCTGTCGCACGCCTTTGTCTCCTACTTCAATGGCTCATGGCAGAGGAGCTGAAGATTTGAGCGCTGCTGGCATTGGAACATTCTGAAGTGGTAATGATTTGACGAACCAGACCAGTTGTCATCACATGTCATCACATGTCATCACATGTCATCACATGTCATCACATGTCATCACGATATATCACGATGTGATCCGATTGTTCTCTGAACTCTGCAAGGCGCCCGAGGAGAGGCCGTGTGCTGGAGAGGCAGCAGCTCTGCTGGGCGCTCTGACGTTCACTCCGCCCCAGGAGACAGAATGACACAAGAGTTCAAAGGAGTTCAAAGGAGTTCAAAGAAACTCAATGCCACTCAATGATATCGTCAAATCATGTCAAATCACTTGAAACTGGAAACAACATGAAACAACGTTTCAACTTGTTTCAACCAATTGTTCCAAAAGTTATTGAGCCGTTGAATGTTTGGTGAGTTTGGTGTTTCCAGTGTTACTAAGTTGTTTCGTTTTTCAAGGAGATCCTGGCAGAGATGCCACTGCGGGAACAGCGACGGGTCTGTAGCATGGCTGTTGCAGCTGCGCGTCAGCGCGCAGTGGACTTGGCAGTGGCACAGCCATCAGACATCGCAGACATTGCAGAGTTGCCATTGGAGAGGCGCCGCAGTGCTGCGTAGGAAACACCATGGGAATCAAATTGCCATGTGGCCATGAATCAGCATGATCAGTTTAACGCAGTTTAACAGTCATTAAACGATCTATGTTTATAGTAGTTTATAGTCAAAGTATATCTATGATTTGGTTTTCTTTGGTTCCATTGGTGTTCCATTGGATAGACACTTAAAAGAAGTGGGACCTGGTTCCACTTTGGATTTTTCACGGTGCAACAAATCATCATCCATGGTGGAACCTTGTTTCCCGGCGGGGTGGGGTACAGCTGTGCTTGGAAAACATGCTTTTTGGGGCTAAGATTTTGATTGGTGTTGTCGGATGGTTATCACTGAGTGTTTTGTCCTGAGAAAAGTGAAAAGTGGGATGACCATCCCGATGCACAACATTGCTTATTAAACACAGATTCAAGATAGGAACATCCTGGGGTTGGACCGAGCCTTTTCAACGCGGACGGAGTTATGCTGTTTCTACATTTTACAATGTGGACTAGATTTTTCATACCTCAGCTTTCCGCAGGTTGCGGGTGCTTGGTGAAGAGCTTCTCGGTTTGAAAATTGAGCTTTCAACTTTGTTTGGATGGTTTTGTCCAATTTTGCCATCAATCCTGACTTGTTTTGTCCAATTCGGTGCATCGAATCTTCGGAAGCCGTCCACGTCCGCAGGATCAATCAAATCCTGGACAATTGCGGGATGGATGTTGCTTTTAGACCAGACAATGCACCAGAACTTGAAGCTCAAGCAGATCAAGCAGTGCCTACGCCTTGTGCAGGTCCCACCTTTGGGCATTGATGGGCATTGATGGATTTGGGATGATTTGCTTTGGCACGTTTTGAAGCTCGCTTTCTGGGTTTTCCGTGACCGAATGAACTACATTTGCAGCTGCGTTCTGCAAGCTTTTGCCTACATTCAAAAAAAGAAAAGGTATTCTGCATGTCTTTTGAAAAGTTGAAGTTGCAGTCCAAGTCTTTCGAATCTCGTATTTGCGGATGATGCTGATCTTTGAGCCGGATGGGGTTGGAGTGATGGTAAGGTTTCGTGGAACTTGCACGCGCACACATGCACACTTTGTGCTACGTTTAGGATGGACTTCAGATGGGGTGGGATGGGCATGTTGGAATGATCTTAATGATGAGCGTGTGGGCTGGGAGACATTTGCAATGGCAAAATTCTAAAACTGATCAGCTGGAAACAAGCGTTACCCTTTGCTTAGAGAAGCTATTGTTGCTTCCTTCTTCAATTTTCTTCAATGAGAGGGATAGAGAGAGAGAGAGAGCGAGAGAGAGAGGCAGAAAGAGTTTCCTGTGCAGTTTTGCGAGGTTGCTGTTGCTGGTGTCATGCTACGGGTTGGGTGTGACTTGCCGTGCCATGCTGCCACTTGCTGTGCCATGCTGCCGCCATGTGTGCTGTGGGTGTCGCGTCTGTATTCTTGAGACTTTGACACACGTCACTTTCAACCTACTAAGTGCAACTGTCCTACTCTCTGGGCCTTCTCTAGCCTCAGAGACTACTGGCAACTTGAGAAGACCCGGCAACTGCTCCAGAAAGTAGACTAAGAAAACAGAAGTAGAGATGAGACGCACCTGTGTGCAGACCGCTGGCCATACCACACAAATTGTTTGGCAATGCATGAAGAAAAGCGAGAAAAAGGAGCCAAAAAAGCACTTCTTCAAATTCCAACAGTCTGTAATCGTTCTAGTGCAGCACTGTCAGCAGACCGCAGTGGACATTTCCACGCAGCACAAGTGGCACAGACGGAGCAGTTTCTCAGCAGCACACATCATATTGTGTGCAAATGAACAAACCTCGAATCAGAAACTTCCCGCGAATCAGCAACAAAGAATCAGAAACTAAACCCCGCGAATCAGAAACTAAAATCTGCGAATCAGAAACCCAAATCCCACGAATCAGAAACCAAAAGCGCGAATAAGAAACTAAATTACAGGAATCAGATACAAAACCCCGTGAATCAGAAACTGAGAATCAGAAACTAAAAATTGCGAATCAGACACCAAGATCCGCGAATCAGAAACCAAACAAGCCCACGAATCAGAAACTAAAAAAAGCGAATTTGAAACCAAATCTTCCACCCCCTCTGAACATTTTGTTGAATGAGATATTACCGCCAACTTATCCTCATAAGGGATCAAGCCCGCCACCCCCCCTGAACACAATGTTGAAAAGGATGTTGCATTTATTTGTTTTTTTCCCCGTGAGGGATAAAATCCGCCACCCCCTTCTGGCCATCATGTCGAATGAGATATTGCCTTCAACATATCCCCATACCGGACCAAATCCGCCACCCCCTCTGATCACTATGTTGAATGGGATATGACCTTCAACTTATTTATGAGGCTTACGCCTGACAGCCGGGCGCCGGCCAGGTTGTTGTTGTTGCTGTTGTTGTTGTTGTTGTGGTTGTTGTTGTGGTCGTTGTTGTGGTTGTTATGGTTGGGGTTGTTGTTGTTGTTGTGGTGGTGGTGGTGGTTGTTGTTGTTGTTGTTGTTGTCGCGGGGGATAGGACAAGAGGGGTGTGGAGGACGGGGGCCGGGACTTCGGGCGTCCCGGCAGCATCCTTCGGTGGAAGGGGGCTGACAGCCCGGGTGTACCGTAGGTGCACCGAAGTCGGGAGAGCCGTCTGAAACAGGAAGAGCCGCTGTTGGAGGAAGGTCTTTTGTGGCCTCGCATCGCGAGGAAGAAAGTTGTGCACAAGCTCAGGGAGTTCGCAAGCATTGTGGGGTGGGAGTTGAAAAGCGTGAGGCGCACAATGCGGTGTGCAAACCGGAGCCGCATGTCGGTGATGTCAAACCGGACCCTGTGCCCCCACGTTTCTGATGGGTAGCCAGAAGGCTGCAAACCGGTAATTTGTGGCCAGAAATGCGTCAGTACATCATGCAAGAGTTTTGCAGCGCGGAGGTGCGCACGGACATGTATGAAGTGATTGCCGTTTTGGAAAAGCCACGCAGGTTGGAGTCCATTCACCATGGCTCGGTTCGAGAATTGTAAGCACTCACCCAAGCCTTTGAACTGCACTGCCTCATGTGGAGCGTTTTGCAGCCACAGATTGCAGAATCCACCACAATCCCAAGCCAGTTCAGAACATTCCCTTGCATAGTCCTTGGAGCGCAGAGCAGCGCTCAGCGCTGGTAGCGGCCGTGGTTTGCTGGCGGCCTGGCATGTTTGTGGTGAGCCAGCATGTTTGGAGCCCGCAATGGCTCGTTTCTCCGACATGTTTGCGATGAGTAACGGCTCGCTGAAGAGAGACTGGAGGGAACTGACTGCCAGAGGACAGAACTGACGCGACTGCAGCAGCACCGCATGAGGATGACCGCTGAAAACTGATCGCGTGACTGCTGAAACATGGTGACAGGTGCTCTGGGGGCGACTCCGGCAAGTTTGCGGGTGGCCCGGCTAGTTTGTCGCAGCTCGCTTAGAAGAGAGAGGAGGGAACTGACTGCAAGAGTACAGACCTGGCGCGACTGCAACAGCACTGCGGTAGCATGACTGCTAAAAACTGATCGCATGAGTGCGGCAACATGGTGACAGGTGCCTTGGAGCGACTCCGGCAAGTCTGTGGGTGGCCTGGCTTGTTTGTTTCCGCTCGCTAGCGAGCGATCGGAGGAGACGGACTGCAAGAGTACGGAATGGACATAGTTATATATATATTTTACATAGAGATATAGCAGCAAATATATATTTATATATGTATATATATATGCATATACATATATATATAGAGTTTGTTTCCGCTCGCTTACGAGAGATCGGAGGAGACGGACTGCAAGAGTACGGAATGGATACAGTTATATATATCTATCTATATTTTTACATAGAGATATATCAGCAAATATATATATATATACGCATATATATATATATATTTTGATATATATAGATAGATAGGTATATATATCCTAGAGAATCCAAAGCTGTCCTAGGGACAACGTTTCTACAAAGCACACTGCGCCCTTGCCGTTTGTATAGAATGTTGCGCATTTGCGCAGCTGATCTGTGAGAGAGCGAGTACCAATATAGGCCATGTTGCTTGAGCCGGCTATATCTATACCTCTACGTGCGTGATACCACATGCCCCTGGGAAAAACATGTATATATCGTACGTGGAGAAGTGCCCAGAAAGGTCCAAACACTGTTTTGAAAAACCAACCCTTTTTTCAGGTTCCTGTCATAAGACCCTACAACCTCAAGCGTGGATGCGCTACGTTTCCTCATGGGGACACTCCTTCTCCATGCCTTATAGAGAGTGTTAGTGGATTCTTTTTTTCGGGAAGAACAGAACTTGAGGTGTGTTCTCTCTTTTTTTTGAAAAAGCTGTGGTCTCTGAGCTCTTTTCTTTCAAAGCAGACAGTTGTGACGCCTGGCCACTGCTACGCTCAGCGCAAGCTTCTGCCCGAACGTGTGGAACTTCAGCCTACGAAAACCTTGTGTTCCCCAAACCCCTGTCATTGGGGAGGCAGCGTGCAAAGTTGCCACCAAGAGATTTGAACACTTATATAAGTCATTCAAGAGTATTTGTTTGCCACTCATCCGCGATCGGCGGTGGGCATGAAAGCTCGTGCTCTCATGGGCCTTGCCTGGCCCTCAGCTGCTGCAACAGCCCGCGTGTGAAACCAGAAGAGGGAGTGCGAGCTTTAGCAAAAACATTTGGGTACCATCGCAGACATTTTAAGATAGATGATCTTAGATTGCGCGTGTCCTCTTCAAAAGTGTTCTTTCTTCCTCCAACGATTCCCACAGATTGCCACTCGCCTCCATCTTTCATTGGGCGTCGGTTCAGCGTGTCGCCTGCGAGGCTGGCGCTTGCGGCCTTTCCTTCTGAAGGGTTTGAAGGCTGGGTCTCACCGGGTGTGAGGGATTTCGAAAACATGCAAGAAGAGCCACGCATCTAGAATCTAGAACCTACAGTGTACTACAGAGTTGTGATGTGAAAGCATGTTTACCCACGTTCATGGTGAGCTGCCTTCAGCACGTTTCCTCATTCCCATGTTGAGCTGCTTTCGCCCTTCCGTCGCCTATACTCAAAAGGTGGGGTGCCTACAGGATTTGGAACGTGTGTCGGATCTCAAGCTGCTATGGCTGTTGCCTTGCCCGCTGCCACGCCTAAATGGCGCTCAGTGCGTTTTGGGCTCAGCGTATTGGTGTAAACAATCCACCGAACAAGTAAAAACGCAACGAACATCAAGTTCTAGTGACTGTTGAAACAATCATATGGTTGAGGACCCGGCAAAATTTCTTGGACCGAAGCGGAAGTCGAATCTTGTTAGTTTAAGCAATCTGTCGCCCCGAGTGGGTTTGTGCTGGATGTATTTTTACTGTCCTCTCTTTATATCAATTTTTTGTTTTAGACTGAGAAGGGTAGGCAGGGTTCTTGGCGCTCTTGGAAAGCGAGGAAAGCTTGGCGCAGGCAATTCGAGACCACCTGCCACTGAATGTGGCGTCGGTCTTGGAGTCTGACAACTACAAGGGTGGAGACTTGATTATGCTGGGTTCTGCCATCGCACGCCCGAGTGCACAGGAACTGGCAAACAACTATGTTTGGCTAAAGCCAATCATACAGGCCTCGCCAACCAAGGTGTGGTGCTGCCTAAAGTTTACAATTGTTTGTGTGTACCTGCACCAATTGTTTAACCAATTTTCAAAGCATTGTTCAACATTTCTGTTCGGTCGACTTTGCACATTCCTTTAGTCAAGGTCTAATCTGCAGTAACACTAAAGGGCTAATGCTCACTGCGAAGAAGCCTGAAGCCACGCTCCACGGAGCAACCTTCTCAAGTGTATGGGCGGGGGGGTGTTCTTTCCTCAAGTTTTTTTGCTGAGGTTGCAAACTGTAGGTTTCATAAGGGGTTCTGTTGTGGCTTGAGGTGCCCAGCGCCTACTTTGTGACGGACGCCTTCTTGACGCTTGACAAAAAGCTCGGCTACAAGCTTTTCAGACCCGGACCCGGGGAGGACCGGGCCTACCTCGCTGGACGCGAGGGTGTTCGCGCAAAGAAGTGTGTGGGGGCACTCCGGTACCTCTGGAGGAACTCCACCAAAGCGCATGATCAGAGGGTCCAGGACATGAAGTCATGCTTAAGCCCAAGCCCTGCTCGTGCTGCTGAGCCAGAAGACGCTCATCCAAAAGATGAAGTTTTGATATACAAATGTTGTGTGATTTTTCCTAATTGTCGGGCGATCGGCGATCACTTTGAATACGCAAAGCTCTTTTATATAAGGTCGATGCGGAAGAGGCTGGCGCTTTTTTGTCTGATGCCGCTGCAGATGACGCGCCTGTGGCTGATGGAGATGAATCAGCGGATTCCGATGAAGCTGCTGCCCCTATGGCTGATGCCCCGATGTCTGAAGCTGAACCAGGTTCAAGTGATTCTGATGTCGAAGTCGAAAAGCAGCAAAAGGTGATTGAAGCTGAGCAGGGCTCTACAAGTGGATCTGATTCTGGCGAGACGCCCAAGACTGTTGAGCAGTCTTCGTCGGAATCTGAAACCTTGAGGCTTCCTGGCAGGGTAGACGAGGAAATCTCAGATGTTTCATCTGAAAGTTCAGACCTTCACAGGGATTCTCAAGTGTCGTCTGGGTGGATGGGCAAAGGGATCAACTTTGCCTTTCACGAACATGAGAAGGAGAAGTCTCGTGAGAAGCATGTGGAGAGCATGCTGAAGGAGTTGAAGGCTGACATGGCTATCCACAGAGGGTTTGATGAGCTCAAGAACCGCGCTGTCGCCAGGCTGATGGCGGATGAGAATGTTTTTGAGTTTTACGTGGAGTATTGCCGCAGCTCCCTCCAGCGATTTGGTGATGTGGTCTATGGACAACTCGCTGATCGTGGGCACTACTTGGAGTGGATCTTGGAAAAGAAACGAATGTTGATGAACAAGAGGAAGGAGAGGTCTTTGTTTGGGGGAAAGGTGACGGTGTTTACTGAAGTTCATTTCGGGGATGTCAGCAGTTCTTGTATTCTTCATTCGTTCCAGGAGAAGGGTGGCTCTGAGTCTGAAGATGATCAGCTTGCCTGCCAAGGTGACAAGGCACCGAGGGGTATCTTTTTGTGTGAAGAGGTTTAGCAGTCTAGTCAAGATTGCCAGCCTGCCTGGTTTTAGTTTTGACCCCTTCAGGATCCAAAGCCCTTGAAGCGAGCTCTGAGTTTCATGGATCTAGATGGCTGTCCTCCAGATGCTTCTTGGGAGCGGGCGAAATGCTGCAAGAAACCCAAGCTGGCTGATGCCGCTGTTGCAGCTGTGAGTGGCGATATGCGAGTTGTTCCACCAACTGTAGTGCTTTGGCCGCGGGTGTGTGTGTGTGTCTGTGTGTGGGGGGGGTAGAAATGTTTTCCAGGTAGGTGTCCATGTAGGTGTCAAATGTTTTTCATGCCATGCGTGGTAGGTGTCCAGGTCTTTGTTCCATGCAAGTAGGGGTGTGGCTCGTGTTTCTGGTCAGGTGAAGCCGGCCAAGAAGAAGACTCCTTGTGATGGGCCCAGGCTCGACGTCTTCCAGGGGGAGCGCTTGGATGATATTCCACTTGAAGCGCGGCCGCTTCAAGGTGTTGAGTACAAGGGGAAAAAGGGCTACACGGTGCATGGTGCGAACGGAGCTGCAACTCAGATGGTGAAGTCTTACTTTTCCTTCTTCGTTTGTGGTGGTTGCATTTTGTAGTTCAACTGCCAGTTCGGTTTTTGAAATACATGTTGAAGAAGAATCTGAGGCGATTGAGGTCTTGATCTTCACAAAAGCGTACGTCGTGAAGAAAGTAGGTGGACGTTCCTCATCTGCCACTGCCAACCATAAAACTGGTCAAGTGACATGGACTAAATTTGGTGGTGCAGGGCCTGCATGGGCTGAAGCAAAAGCCCGTGCAAACTTTTGAAGCTTGTTTGTTTGGGGTGTGCCCAGTTCATCCTTCCCCTAGCTCTACTGTAATGAAAGATATGTTAAACATAGCAAGAATCACTTGGCTTAGCTTGCTTATTTGGGGAGGGCTGGGGTTGATGCGTTTGCCTTCTTACATCTTGGAAGGCAGCTATTTCGGGGGGGTTGCGCATCCAATGGATGCCCAAAGTGGGTGCCTCATAGGCTTGAGGAGGTTCCTATCTGCAAACTCGGAGGTTGCAGCCCTTTGCAAAAATATGCGTTTGCCAGCAGTGCAAATTTCAATCCCTCACATCACAGTGGCTGTGTTTCCTGCAATACTAGCAACGCAACCCCCTAAAGCTTGGCTCAAAGGCGTACATGTCATTCTGAAGTTGCGCATACAGAAACAAACAATTTGGGATCAAACCATACGTTATGTCTTTCTCTTGCTATCTCGTATCTAAAAGCGTCTTTGATTTTCCATTTTTCTGGCCACCATGGTGAAGAGAATCGTGGAGAAGGATGTGGCTCGACGAGTCAAGACCGTCAATGACAAGTTGCCCTTCAAGGAAGCTGGGGATACCAAGGTCCGCCGGCCCATCTCCATGCACGGGAAGCAGCGGGCCTGGATCATCAATGGACTACGCCATTTGAAAGCTCCGACTGCCGCCTGGCGCTGTTTTTTTCCAAGACCACAACAAGCAAGCGCTGGGGTCAGCAGGCAGTCGACAATCTGTACCCCCCAACAAGGATATAGCTGCGTTGGCAGTAGGACTCAAAGGGGCCTCATAGCTTACACACCTTTTTTGTGGGAGAGAGGCTATATGTATAGTGAACGTCTCAGGTCATTGCCACACTAGTGGCCCTGATCTTTGCGGTGCCTGGTCTTGACTTCGAACGGCCCATCGATCGCTTGGAGACCTTTGCTGGATGTATGTCTGTGACAAAGGGAGAGTGGGAGGAGACAATTGTTGTGGAGCGTTGCCATTTTTCCAAGATTCAATGCCATATCTCATGTTGAGGCAAGCTTGTAAACATGTGGGTGATCAAGTGTCCCTCAATGGTCCAGGATGTTGCCAAAAAAAGGAATTCAAACAAGTCTCCATTGACGCATGTCTAGCTAGTGGATATGTTTCACCATTCTTCCAGGAGGGGAGAAAGGCAGTGCCGTTCGATGTCACCTACTCCTCTGACATGGATTTACTTTCAGCGCAAGGGTTTGCCAATGCCCTCTACCATGCCTGCAATGTCCTTCCTGGGTCTGGCTCCATGTCAGCGCCAGTTTGCAGCACCTTTGTCATAGTGCCGGGCGCATAGCTGTCAAGGGGATGGAGTGCAAACAGTCTTCCCCACTAAGATACAAGTAGAAAATATGGTGGAAAGGGGCGTTTCACTTTTGTAGTCCCTCAACCTCCCCTAATGGGTCAATCCTGCGTTCCCAGGTCGAGAGGGAGCACTCATCGGAGCCCAACAAATCCTTTGGGTCGCCAAGATTCAGAATCAGTGCGGCAAGGGACTATCCTTGCAAACAGGGCTTTGGTCATACTGTTCATCTTGGCTGCCAAAGGTTGTTGGACCATATTGGAGCAGCCAGCGTCGAGCTGTATGGAACACTTGCCGCTGTTCCAATATTTTTTGCGGCTGGTGCCCCAAGTCAAAATGTTCATGCGGATGGGTGACCACGGCGGTCCAACTCCCAAGCCAACATTGCTCTACTCCAGTTCTTTGGCAGCGCTTGGCCCTATAACAAAAGGTGGTGCCCCACCCGCCCAAATGAACCCACACATTTGAACCCCAGTGGAAATCCCACCATAGTCTCACATTCTCCCAGGGCACCCCACTGAGCCCGGGTTCAACCTAGGCCACGCGTGCATTGCTGGTCTCAACGATTTCCGGACTATGCCCCAGCATCGCAATCGTGAGATTACAGTTCGCTACACGAACCGGGCTGGTGAGAAGCGCTGGCATGGAGGGAAGGATATGAAGGGAAGTCAATCATACCCCAGACAGTCACTTGCATGCAAACGCAGCAGGATTGGGTTCACAATGTTACACGTTAGCAAAAAACCATTCCATCAAACCTATTCACAACATGACCTGCCAATTTCCTTTTCGCACCATCCCCAAATCTGACCCACACAAGTTCTCCCCACATCAGCCAATGGCCACTTTGCCCCTATGACTTGATGGGGTCAGGTTTTGGGGGGTCACCTGAACTCTTCTGGTCAAAGAACATCGCACCATGTTTCACACCGCTTCAGGTTTGGTGTGTCGCTGGCAAGGCTCCGGACTTTGCATGAGAAGAGGAACAAGCGGAAAGCGGTTCGTTTCCTGAGGGCCGCTCGGCGTACCACCAATGATTTCGACACCAGGGTCAGAATCAACAAAGCTTGGACTGATGGCGCAGATCTTTCAAGCGTCATCTCATACTTATCCCAGAAGTAGGATTATTCCATATGTCTTTTAAGGTGGGAGTGGAGACCCTCTGTCATTGTTGCCCTGAAAATGCAAACAACTCTAATTGTCAGTAACTTTGGGGTTGATCCACAGGCCACTGGACTACTTAATTCGCACTCAATTGGCTATCGGCGAAGTTCTCACTGCGCTGCTGGAGCTTTGATCTGGGGTAGAAAAGGATTTGCGCTCCATCTTCAAGAGGGGCAGCTGTCAGACTGCTCTTTCACAAGCTTTTTGAGAATTCTGTACCGGGTCAGAGAAGCTCAGAACTCTGAACAACAAACCAACAGGTCTTCGCCTCCTCACCTTACTCACCTTTCTCCTGGTCTTCCCTTCATTTCCTCCCAGTCAACCGCGGCTGGGAGGCTTGGCAGCCGCGCCAGGGTGGTGATCTGCGCCAAGGGAGGCCTGCGCAGAGATATGTTGGCCTAGAATGTAGCCTTTTGAAGAATGCTGTTGTGGGGCCTGGTAACCGAGACCTCGGGGGCTGCTATCAGGAGAGGAATTTGTTCTTCTGGGCTGGATTCTTGTTGGGGTGGCCTACAATGAAAGTCAATGATACATGCGTTCCAGTGTGCATGAGCGTGCAGGTGTGGATGCCGCGCATTGTGCTTGGGGGTGCAGAATCTGTGGGCCTGCCTGGCCCCAATTGTCAGAGAAGTCGAGATGTCACCGTGTCATTTTTTAAGAAAAACATAGAAAAACACTTCAAGAAAAAGCTGCGATTTGCCGAGAAAAAGCTGCGTGGTGTACCTAAAAAGCTGCGTGGTGTAGAAACACTGCTCACAACACAGTTTCATCGCATGTGAACTTCAATGGTCCTCACCTTTTCTCACCTAGTCTTGGCATCAGTGTCCTGAGAAAATCGAGTATAGAAGCTCAAAGGGTGACCGTTTGGAGCTTTCATCCAACTTCAACCTGCCTGTTTCAGCATTTTGGTTGCAGTGCTGAACTATGCCTCCAAGCCAAGTGCGTTATCGCATCGTTGGCAAGTCGGGGTCCATGGGCACCACTAAGAAGGCTGATGGAAAGAATGGAAAGACAACAAAGAAGGAGAAGCCAGGTCGAAGCCCAAAAGATCAGAAGAACCAAAAAGCAAAAGCAAAGGATGCAGTGAGAAAGAATACGGGCAAGAAGGTGGAGGAGAAGAGCTCAAAGCAAGAGAAGAGCGCAAAGCAGGAAAAGCAGGAGAAGAAGGTGGGGAAGGATGCCACCAAGAAAGGAAAGAGCGGAAAGGATGATCCTGAGGAGGTGGAAGAAGTCCCAGCAAGGAAGAGTGCGCTAAGGAATCCACTTACTAAGAAGCATGTGGAGCCAGCGGCAAAGACAAGTGGAGCCAGCGCGCCTAAAGAGCACAAGGAGAAAAAAGAGAAGGGCAAGAAGGCGAAGAAGGAGAAGAAGGAGAAGAAGGAGAAGGATGGTGAGAAGAAGACAGGTGGGAAGGCTGAGAAGGTGGCCAAGCGGAAGGAAAAGAAGATGAGTGCGAAGGAGGCGAAGGAGAAAGCGGAGGAGGAGGAGAAGGAGATGAAGAAGAAGCGCAAGGCTGAGGAGATGGGGAAGGAGGACAAGAAGAAGATGAAGCGAGAAGGCTCAAGCCCTGCGACCCGTGATTCAGAATCCGCCACGCCTTCGACAAAGTCATCAAAAGCCAAGGCTGAAGCTCGGCTGCAAGAAATGGCAAGCCTTTTAGAAGGTCTGTCACATGAAGATGCGTCTGAAGATGGCCTTTCTGAGCTCCTTTGTGCGGGGGATGCAAGCGAAGACCCTGACGAGAGCGAAGATGATGATGCTGAGGGCGAGGAAGAGGAAGAAGTGACAGAGGATGCAGAGGAATGTGGAAGTGACGAGGAGGATGAGGGCGATGACGACGAGGGTGCAAGCGATGAGGCTTCAGTGGAAGGAGGAGGTGAAGTGGGGGAGGAGCCGGAGGAGAATGAGAGCGAAGCGTCTGAAGATGAAGATGAAGATGAAGAAGCAGATGAAAAAAAAGATGGAGGGGGAAAGCGCGCAGAACCTTGCCACGCCTTGGTCCCAGTGGTCACTGACACCTCTATGGCTGTGGTTGGCATGCGCAACAGTTCCACTAACAAGGCAGAGTGGGACAAGTTTGTGCGAGAAGCACAGTCTCGCCACAAGTTTCCTGCAGAACTGTCTGAGTTCTTCGCGACCAAGAAGACTGAGCTGTTCAACATTTGGTTGGACAGTTCAATGGACTGGCAGTCTTGCAAGCTACATGTTGAGCGCGAACATCACAAGCGCAACAAGACTGTCAAGGGCTGGCAAGCAGTGCAGGGAAAAACATTGAGACAGCAGCACCCTGTATTGTATGTGTTAAAAAAGTTTTTGGACTTCCAAGGAATGTGTTATAGGAATTTAAAAACCTCAAGGTGATCTTACTTAGCTCTGTGTGGTGCACATGTGCTCCTGAGGTACGACGAGGACAAGTTCAAAACGCTCGTCGCCAAAAGAAAGGCCAGCGGCCTCTTTTATGAGGATGAGGATTTCCCAGGCGACGACGATGAATGTTGGTTTTTCATGAAGTGTGGTGAGAAGGTCGCACAGTCTGATGAGACTGCTGAGAAATTGAAGCTTTCCGCCAAAACTGAAGTAGACCAAGATTTGAGGATGGCTTTGACCGACCCGGATAGTGGTATCCTCCGGCCTGGTGCACTGCCGAAGATCAGCGCTGGGCGGCAAGGATCCAAAGAGCTCCTGGATTCGATGGCCAAGGCTCGACCAGTCTCTTTCCCTTACCAGCACCTACCAACAGAGCCTAATTACCATAAGTCTTCAGAAGCCAACGCATTACATGGACCTTTGTACGCCAGACCTTCCATTCGTTTCACTCTAGATTTGGCAGGTGTCAGCTCCAAAGAAAGTGCAAAAGCCTAGCAGTGGAGAGGTGGAGGAAGCAAAGCCTAAGACACCACTTGAACGTGCCACAGCGATCATGTCAGATCTTTTGCCACTGGCAGCTACTGCCCGTACCCAGTCCATCAAGCTATCGACTGTGGAGTACGCTGGTGAGCTATCAGCCCAGCTTTTGGAACATGCCAAGCAATTGGAAGGCCTTTTCAAAAAGTTCAAGAAGGCTGTGGACAAGAAAGCTTCGCCGGCTGATCTCCAACCGCTCTTCAAGCAGTTTGACCAGATGAAACTCTGTGGGGAGAAGTCTAAGGCCTGGTCTGTCGCCAGCTGTGAGTGTCGACCCATTTGCCATCTATCCACAATCATTTATCCACAACCTTCCAATTCCCAAAAAAGTTGAGATGTAAAAACAAACCGTTTGAGGAACCTTCCCATGTCCATCTGCTCTCCTCCATGCAGGCAGCAGCTGCCGCCCTGCTTCGGCCTCCTGGCAAGAAGAATCCAAAAAGCAAGGGGAAGTCTGAAGCGAAGGGCCGTGCCAAGAAGTGACACTTTAGTCTTGAGTGTTTTTGGGTTTAAAGGTCAGAGAGAAAGATCTTTGACCGCGGGGCGTGCCCAGGGCTGTGGGGAGGTCTAGACCTGCGAAACAAACTGTTCTTGGAAGCAATGTGTGCAAAACCATGCTCATGCTTTTTTCCGCAGACTATCTCCAGTGCAGTCCTACTGGCACATTTCGACTTCCAACCTGTGGAGAGATTCTTTTCGGAGCTTGAAAACATTTGCGACTCCTTGGTCATTGGTCGGTATCATTTCTTTACGTTCGATTCATTCGGTTTCTATTCAGTGTTGTTGCCACCGTTTGTGGAACGTCACTCGGGCCTCTCAAACCTGCTGTGCAACATTTTGCAACCATGTCCATGTCGTGGCCCGGTCCTGCTATGCCAGGTGCAGCCCTGACGTCCAGGAGCCAGCCAGGGAGACCTGTTGAGTTGGAGCGTCGTGACATCATGTTTGAGAGAAGCGTGGTACCAACTTGTAGCCACACCAAATCATCATCGCAACCCTGCAGGAAAAGAAAGCGATGTCCTTTTGAGTCTTACAACGAATCTGAAACAGTTGGAGTCTTGACGAATTTGATTTCCAGAGGGCAATTGAGTATTGCTTCGGCAGCTGAAATTGCAAGATCAGTGGTGAAAGACCACGACCTACCCGATGCCGCTGCAATTAGGTAGCATTCAACATGAAACCTTGTTCATTGTGTGTGCCCCCCTCAAGTGTGGTGCACTGCTCACCCCTCAGGTCTGAGTCGCCCCACATGTGAAGGTTCCCACTTTCAACCGCCTGCGCATTGCGCCAAGGTGAAAGCTTTCAGTTCCCTGGGGTGTGATGGGGCACACCCTGCAAATTCAGAACGAGACCTTCACAGGTGGCTGCGGGGTCTTTACAACTTCAAGTTGGAGCCATATGTAATCAGCCTCAACTTACAGGCCACCTGGTTGGGCTTGAAAAGAGATTTTATTAACCTTGGCTTTCTTAAAGACAGTGAGTCTTGTTGGTCAACACTTCTATCCATTGCCAACTAGCAAGGTTGATGGGGTGGAAGCCCGACCGGTGCAAGCTGCTTGCATAGACTTGTTCAGAAACACTTTTGGTGCGGGGTCTTGTTTTGAGGGCTTATATCAATACTGTAAGTGGAACAGTTTTTGGTGAATGCAAGGTGCGGGCGCTTCTCCCTCACGAAGTCATCGACTGCTTGGCGAAAGCAGGCTGTCCTTCTGCTTTTGATTCGATGATGCTGGGACACCTTGACACAGCCTCTAGAGAGAAGTTTTGGTGTCACGTCCAACATCTCGACCCTTGGAAGAATCACCCTATCTTTGAGCGTATGGAAGGTGGTACCATGGGTGATGTAATACCAATAGCGGTGCACGGTGACGGCGCCGTGATGAAACGCGACGACGAGTGTTTTGTGTGGAGCTTCAGCAGCTTCTTCGGATCTCTTGGGCAGATCCGAGATGTCCTTCTGTTCAAGTTCCCCTTTGCCATTGTTCACGAACGTCACATGAGGTCTCCCAATGAAACATGGCAGCTGGGTGTTGTTTTTGATTTGGACCACCCAAGCATTCTAGTTTGTCCACCCAACATTGTTTGAGAATATGTTTGAAATGAGAAGACTGTGTGCAAAACAAAGGTACGCAGCGCTGTTGAAACGACAATCGCCAATGTCTTTGCCTGGAGCATGAAGTGCTCGTCCAGCGGGGTCGCTCCTGTGACCGGGTTTTACGATGAGGAGTTCAAGAAGACTTCATACCGGTATGGCATGAAAGGTCAAACGTTGGCCTTGGGGTGGAGGTGTCTTGGGTATAACTTCACAGCTTATAACTTATAACCTTTTGTTTTGCCTCTATGAGGAGCTGTATGGTGGTTTACTGTTTTGGTAGGCCAGTAACCTCCTGACTCAGGGCCTGCTATTTCACCATGAAGGCAGATCTGAAAGCCCGCCATCAAATGAACCTGTTCCAAAGATGGTACCGATGCTCACTGTGGCTTGTCTTTTGGGAGTCCACTTTTCTTGGTGTACCCAACTGGGTTTGAAAGCCAGTATATATGGATATCAAGTTCAACCCGTATGGATAAGAAAAAATATGTATGTAATCTATCAAGTTTGTATATCTATCATGTATGGATATTTGCGTTGTGCTTTGCACTGCTCCCAGGCTGTGTGACAGCTGCCTCGCTTCTTCTGGCAAGCGGAGTTGCCGCTTCATGAACTATCGCAACTTTGGAACGTCTGCTGCTTGGCCGCTGACTGTGCTGAGCCACGAAGATTACTTGCGCTTGGAAGCAGTTCCGTCACCGTGGGTTTCAGTCGAAGGCTTTCGACTGGGATCTGTTTCGTGGGACTTGTTACATTTGATCTTTTTGGGCCACGGCAGAGATCTCGTAGCAAGTGCTATCCGGGTGATCATCCGCGAGGGTTGCTACGACTATGTGTGCTACGACTATGTGGGTTCCAATCAGCTAGATGCTATCTTGAGTGTTGTTCACAAAGAAATTCATGACACCTGCACAAAGAATGGGCCCCTTGGACCATGCCCGGACATTCTCTATTGCCAATTGTCCTTTTATTTTTTTGGAATGCGGAGTTAGCTGAAGTGAAAAGGAATAGCTATAGAAGTATCTGGTTCAACAACCATATATCAAGGTACTATGTGCCTTGCAAGCCAGTGCTCAGCGAAGCGAACATGGGAGGGTGCGAGTACGCTGAAATTGGGAGCCGCTACAAGGCTTCGCGCGTGAAAGTCTTGCTGTGGTGGATTACCCGCAAGAGTCAGGAGGCACATGTGTGTGAAAAAAAACATATTGAGACGTCGAACCTTTCCCCTTATAATTGGGACAGAGTTTTCACAAAACCGTGCCACATTTAAAACTTGTGAGCTGGTATCCGTCCAAATCGCTTTGTTTCAGGTAGCTGACGCTAGCCCTACAAATGCATTGCTTCAAGTCTTGGCAACTTGCTGCTGGGCCCTTCAACGTTTCCTGGAGGTCATTGACAACGCTGGCCTGGTCGTAGAGCCAGAGGAGGCTGCCGAAGGAAGCAGCACCTTGTGGGCGCATGTTCGTCTTTATGCATGGCTAGCTCTGTACTGCTCCGACCGCAAATTACTGCTTTTCAAAGTGCGCCCGAAGGCGCACTATCTATGTCATGTCGCCATGTCTTTGAGTCAAACACGACTCAATTTCAATGCCTTTCACACCTTTGACGAAGAAAGCTTTCTAGGCAAAATCAAGAGCATCTGTCAAAAGACGCATGGCTCCACTATGACACAAAGAATCTACCAGAGGTACTGCTTGTGTCTAGCTTTGTTTCTGCACCACCAACGGCAAATCGACAAATCCGTGTGAGAAAAACAAGGCCTTGGAGGGCTCCATGGATTGCCGCCGGAGCAAGCGGGTGGAAGTGCAAGTTGGAAAAAATCTTGAGGTCTACAGTTCCTTTACTTTGGTAGGTTTAAGGGTGAGAAGAGGGCACCATGGTTCTAAGGGATGAGCTTTAAGTACACGGGTGGTCATGGGGTATAGCTGTGAGCAGCGACCACGACCGGAGCGTAAAGAGGGCACCATGGTTCTAACAGATGAGCTTTAAGTACACGGGTGGTCATGCATTGCTCCTTCGGTGCATGTGGTATAGCTGTGAGCAGCGAACACGACCGAAGCGTAATCGACAGCTCGACTTCGATTTCCCTACCAAAAAAAATACATTGAACACAGCTTCAGTTTTTGTTTGTCGAGGCCTGTTTCCAAAGTCCTCGCCAAAGCAAAGGATCCACTGCCTTTGTTTAATGATCGATATCGGAGTTATCGGTTGTAACTTATTATACATATATATATATAGAGGCCCAAGTTTGCAAATCCTCACATTACTTGTGAGGATTTGCGGTGGTGTGTGTAGTTCTGTGTGCTACTATAAATACTGGTCCACTGGTCGCCGTAGGTGCAGTTCATGACTTGACCTGCAGCTTGGAAATTGAAAGTAATTGTTTTTTGCCCTGTACGATGCGCAAGACAGCGTCCTACGCTTTCGTGTGCTACTATAAATACTCGCCGTAGGTGCAGTTCGTGACTTGACCTGCAGCTTGGAAATTGAAAGTAATTTTTTTTTTTGCCCTGTACGATGCGCAAGACAGCGTCAGCCGCTGTCGTGTGTATCTTCTTTGTCTGTGATCACATATAGCAGACCTGTGCTATATGCATATTCAAGCCTCGATGACACCGGTGCTATAAAGAACCATGGTTTTGACCAACGGTGTGGCGCAATGAAAACGAGAGCGTTTTACACAAACGACAGCGACGCTGTCGTTTGCATCAAAAGCTGTCCCTAGCAAAGCGTTGGATTCTCTAGGATATATAGATAGATATATCTCGACATATTTTGTTTGTTTTTGCTTGGAACTGAAGAAGCTGCAACAAACACCCCAGCAAGTTCTTCTAAAACACAGCGAGGGCGAAACTTTGAACAGGGGATTGCAGACAGCGCCACTGATAAGCTAAGTAAGGCACGCAGTCTCTGTTTGCCAGTAGGTACTGCCCAAAATCTTCTTTTCTCAGGCTGCAGAGCGGTCTGGCAGAGTTGGGGTCAGCCAGCCTGTTTGGAGCCCGCAAGTGTTCGTGTCGCCAACATGTTTGCAATGAGCAACGGCTCGCTTATACGCAAACATGGGGAAAGGTTACCGAAGTGTGTTAAGGGTGCAATGCGTTGGACGTACCTGCATGAATTGATATTGCAAGAATCTTCATTGAACCCACTAGTACAGCATAACCCCAGATACTCATCAACCAAGGCCAAAAAAACTGAAGCGGTCTCCGGATGAACAAAGTGGAGAGGTGCTGCGTGTGCATTCGAAGCCATCAGCATCACAGCTTTCATTACCGCAATTACCATGCCCGAACCGCCCTTCATGAACTTGTTGATAACCATGTCTTCTTGACCTCAGCGCGATGTAAATGGCACAGCAATCCAAACTTTTGGGGCGAAATGGAGTGAAGAAGATTTGTGTGGTGTGCGTCCCAGACTTGTTGGTGCCAGTCTTCTCAAGTTTTTGGAAGGGTTTGTCTTTGTATCAGGCATGCATGCACTGAATGTCAAGCTTTTGAAGGCTCACTGGCATCAATGCTCTATTGAAGCAATGTCCTATTCCTACTTGACACCCTGAAACCTTGCTACCTACAGACCTTGTCAATCATAAAAGCATCTGCTAAGAGCACTGTTTTGCAAGTCGCCCTCGCGGCGAAGCAAGTCCGTGAGTCAGCATCATGCCATCTCATGGCCAGACGTCACCTAGGCTGATCACACTTGCATTTCCATTGTTTCTCCGCGCTAATGCAAGCTAGTACGGGGTTCCAGCTGCAGCATTCTCCTCTCACCGGTTGCCCCCCGTAATCACACCTCCGTTCCACCCTGCAACAACCTTTCGTCTCAGTAGTCTCCGTGCCGACGTTTTTGGACGTGCGCTCCACTATGCTGCTTGCGCTTTTCTCGGTCTCCTGGCCGACGTTCTCGGACCGGGGACATGGGCAAACATCAGTCTCCTTGCCGAGGTTCTCAGGCTTGGGAGGCCATTCCTGTGCCATGACGTTGTTGTAGCTCACGCACAATGCAAGGATGAGGCAACCGAATACGCCGGATTTGGGCGCCATGGCAATGCCGACACCCCTGAGCTAAAAAGCGTCGCTGAGTGGCTTGAGGAAAAACTTGCAAAAACAGCCACGGAAGAACATAAAGATGCTGAAAAATGACGCAAAGATCCAAGCTCCAACAGAAGAGCTAGTATATCAAAGATGTTCAAATTGAAACAAATTCCAAGGTTAAGCTCTCCAATTGGCTTAAGAACATATAGCAAATTCACAATTTCAAACCTCCGACTGACATATTCCCAGCAGCTGAGCGTCCCCACAACAGGATGCAGAAGAGATTGATGACGAAGCCATGGCGGAGCAGAAGGACAAAGGAACAAAGAATAATCCCAGCCAATGAGCCAAACGTGCAAAACACAAATCCATGGGGAAAAACAAATGAAGGGCAAAACACAAAACCCCGAAACCAAAAAAGCGCATAAAATCAACCATCTGATGGAAAAAAATCTTTATAAGGCTTTCTAAAAACACTAAATCTTTAAAAGTTCATGCCTCATCAACAATCTTGGGTAATCAGTCAGTTTGTAATATTTTTGGTTCAACTTTTCTGCAATATCTTGCACAACATAATAACCTTTCAGCCAGTGGGAAGTTCTTTCTTTCTCTGTAATTGCTTTCTTTCTCATTATCTTTACTCGGTCTCCTACTTCTAAAGAAGGGTATATTCTTTCTTTCTTTGCTTTTACTGAAACATTGAGTTTTGCTCTAAACTCATTCCTTTCTTTCCTTGCTTCATTTGGAGTTAGTCCAGTAGCACTATGGACGTCTTTGTTGTTGTATGTTAGTAAAATCTCGGTTATGTAATCTATCCATTGAATGTTATTTTTTCCTTTCTTCTCATCATTCTCAACCCTTTTAAAAATTTTATCTTTAAATGTCCTAATAAATCTTTCAGCGAAGGCTGGATGACCTCTAGTTCTATAAAGTTCAATCCCTTCATCTTCTACTAGTTGTTTGAAGTCAGCACCACTTATACTACCTTCATCATCAGTGTATATGATTTTTGGTTTTGCCCTCATCTTTTCTAGCCCTTCCATTGTTCCAGCGATGACATCGGCAGGGTTTTTGCTTTTAATAGGGACTACTACAGCATATTTACTTAATACATCAATCATTACCAACCCAGCTCTAAACTTTTGTGTTGCTTCTATATCATTTTTTGAAATGAAAAACAAACCAAGTTGAAAAGTATGGTTATTGTGGGGGACTACAAAACTGTTCTGACCCCTTTGCTTTCTCTTAATCTCAACATTCTTTCTAAAAAAAATATTCAACATCTTTCATAGTAATACTTTGATCTTTCTCTCTGGCATCTTTTAAAGTTGTAGCCTTGCTCCCATAACCACTTCTATCAAAATAAATATTACTAATAATCTTCTGTTTATTATCAGCCATTATATTTATAATGATATTTTATTAGAAAAAGCGCAATTACATTGAACACATAAGCCTATACAATTATCTTTGAAGTGGCTTTGTTCATTATTAACCCTTTGACAGGTTATATTTGATGAAATCCTGCCATCTTCAAAATCTATCACCAACGGTTCATTACAATTCTCACACTGTGTATTCATCAAACCCATCAAAAAATCTACATCAACATAATCATTTCCTTCTACATCTCTACCTGCTTTCTTGTCTTGCTCTTCATAGTTCATAATTTTATTTTTGAAATATGTTTCTACTCTTAACTTACTTAAATCATTTTCATCAGCATCATATTTATAAAACTTAACTCTATTTAAATCTCTGGATCTTGTAATGGCTGTCCAATACCAGTTCTTGCTACAATACTCTTTGCTCCAATCATATATCACAATATCATCATCAACACTACAGCCTTGCTTACTATGGCAGGTGTAGCAGTAAGCATATATAAAATGCTTTCTCAATACTTTCAGTTCTATATTTTGCTTCTCATTAGTTGCCACATTTTGTAAAACAACAATATTGCCAACAATATTTGAAATCCTGAATTTAAAATTCACATTAAATTTCGTCCCTTTATTCTTAACATACTTTCTACATATTACCTCCTCACCTATCACATATTCATCTTCTATGCCTTTCATTTTTCTCATTCTGCTACTCACCTCTCTGGTGGGCTACGAGGGCCTGGTACAGTGCCAGTTCCGCATCCCGCGGCTGCACGGGGCCCGGGAACAGCTTGGTGAGGGCTGCAAGACTTGCAGGAGTTGGAGCTGAGAGTTGCAAGGCCTGGGGGCAGTGAGGTCTGCATGGGCCTTGCTCTATTCCAATCGCAGCGCCATGATCCATGACAGTCCGGGTCCCCAATGTGCAGGTACAATAGGTGCTTCGGGGAGAAAAGGGGCTTTGTGTGAGCCACAGGTCCATATCCCTACATTGCTTCTCAACTGGAGGCGTGTGCTCGGAGTTGCGGAGTGTGAGAAAGGATCTAGAATCTAGAACATCCAGAGGAATCAGAAACCCAAAAGCTCCTTCGTCAGATGCGTTGAGTTTCTCGCGCAGAGGCGGGGGTGACCTCGAGGGGAGGCAGCTGGAATTCAGTATTATAAATATAAACCCCCGCTCTGGCCACGTTGCTACGCGCCCACACAAGACTTGTGTTGCATGTGGATGTTACGTCTAGATAGAATTAGTATAAATCGGGCATAAGCTAAGGGGGGGGAGGGGAGGGGGAGCTGGAATCCCGCTCTGGCCACTTTGCTATGCGCCCACACAAGACT